AAAAAAAAAAAAAAAAAAAAAAAAAAAAGAAGGCCTTAAGTAGCCTTCAACTACTGGAAGATCTGCAAACTTTCTGAGCTTTACAAACTTTGTCTTTAGGGAGTTCCTCATCACCATAGGTCTATAAAAACAGGAGTAGGGTAGGCAGCCAATTGTTATAAAGCTATGCATATGTATAACAACAAATGAATATGGAGATATATACAGACAAAGAAGCCCAAAGTAAATAACTGAAAAGATTATTTAACGGAAGATAAAGATTATTTAACGGAAGATAAAGACAAAACATGAAAATTAATGCTGGATTAGAAAACAAATTGGTGGGAGGAGAGTGTGTAGAGGGAGAGTTTAATGGTCAGTGTAGCAATCAAAGGATTTTAGTAATTTTTTAAAAACCAGTTAAACAATTAATCTATAAATTATACTACACAATCACAATAACAGGATCTTCTGGTACATACAAAATTTTTCCTTTAAAATTTAATAAACTGACAAATATAGGAGTACAGTCTTTTATGAAAAATGTGACCATGAACAATATTGCATACGTATATATCTTTAAGCATGTAGAAAAATAATATTAAAAAGATTACACAATGTGTGTGTGAGATAGAAATATCTAAGAAAATCCTTACCTCATTGATCAAGAATTGGAGCTGCAGAACAGCTGCACCACTTTCATGTTGACAATAACAATCAACGCCAGGTCTCCCAAGTCTAAAATAATAAAAGTCAAGGATTCTAACATTTTAATTAGCATTAACGTGTAAAGAAAAAACTAACTTACTTAGCAACTGACATTTGGCTTACTAGTTATCTTTATTTTTGTAAATAAAGAGTTGAAAAATCTTGGTCTTAGTTGATGGAAATTACATTATATAGCATTGCTTGTCAGAAAAATGGCTGGATAAAATGTCCCTCGTACATAATCAACCTCCTTCAAGAACAATAATTTTGCATCTACACTCACAGACAAAAGTGTCTTCACAGGAGCTTCAGGATCCAGGTTGGAGATTGTGAAACCCTGGTGCAGTCCAAGAATGAAGAAAGCCATTTTGAGGAGACAGGCTTGCACTTAGGCAGCTGACTCACTGACTGGGGTCTCAGCTATAGAAACAGAAATAGCTCTGTACCCCTGAGAACTTAGCTACAGCTCCATTTGGCTCTGGGTCTGTCACCAGTATATGCCACATGTCAAGGGACCCAAAGGAGTCACACTCATTCATGTATCAGGTAATAGACATAATAAAGAACTTAAAGAACTTGTTCCTGGCTGTAGAACAGGAAGTGACCTTTGAACCAGCTCCAGCCTCACTAGGCTGCGGTGTGGGAACCCCTGAAGGTAAGTCCCTGGAAGTAAGGTACAGTCTGTCAGACTGTGGATTCTGAAACGGCCTGTAACAGGGCTCCAGCAAGTCCCAGCCACAGTCTAGGAACAATCATGCTGGCAAAGGAACCCTATAGGAAACACGCTTGTCTGTACCCTCTAAGATCCTAAAAGGGGTTTATACTCAGCTCAAGCCCCCTCACTGCCAGTCTTCTAGAATTTCTGCTTGCACAAAGACCAGGCAGGAGACACTCCTGTCTCTGTCCCCTGGAGTTCCTGAAAAGGCCCTGTATGTGACTCCAGCTTCCTCATAACTACAGTCTGCCAGTCTACAGCAGTCCTGAGGGTCCAAGGTCTCAGTAGGAAACACACCTGGCTGCAACCCTGGAGATCTGAAAGGGCCCTACACTGAGTCCTAGCCCCTCCCAACTGGAGGCTGTGAACAGTTCTGCTGCCACAGGTACCCAACAGGACACACTCCTGTATGCACTCCCAGAGATCCTGAAAGGGCCTAATACTCCCAACCACAATCCCCAAGCAGTCCTGGCACAGGAACCTGTCAGAAAACATAACTGCACTCCAAGAGATCCTGAAAGGGCCCTATACTCAACCCTAGCCCCTCTGGCCACAGTCAGGGACCAATTCAGCCCATCCAGTGATCTGGAGGGAGACATACCCATCCATGACTGCAGAGCAAAGCTTGGCTGTGGAATCTGAAACAGCACTGAGGCTCAGTTCCAGTACCTCTCAGCCACAGTCCAGGGTCAGTCCTGTCCATCCAGGGACCCATCCAGTGACCAGGCAGCAGTCCACCCAAGATCTGGCAGGAGCCACACCCACCATTTACCTGGTAATAGGCTTGCTATCTGGGGACCCATACGTGGACCCCAAAGCAGACCCTTGTCCCAGTCCGACCCTACTAAGCAAGGTACTGCAGGTAGTCACATCTACCTGGGGACTGGAAGGGATCCACACCAACATAAGACCCAGTATCAAGCCCACAAATCATAGATGCTACTGCAGACCCAGCAAAAGCCTCACAACTGGCTCTAATGCAGCACAACTGCAATTATGGAAGTAATCCTATCAGCTCGGGAAACAAACAGAACGTCTTTATCTTCTGAAACCAGCCTGTAAAGACTGGAAGAGGTGCTTGCTTCACAAATGCACAGACACTAATATAAGGCTACATAGACAACAAAGAATTATGCAAATATGATGCCACCAAAGGAAAGTAATAGAGCTCCAGCAACTGACCCCAAAGAAATGGAAATTTATGATTTCCCTGACAAAGAATGTAAAATCATCTTAAACTGTATGAAATGCAAGAAAACACAGATATACAACTAAGCAAAATCAGGAAAACAATTCACGAACTAAATGCATTTAATAAAGAAATGGAGAAGTCAAGATGGTGGAGTAGGACATTGGGCTCACCTCCCCCAGTGAATGCATCAAAAACAGATCTATGTGTGGGGCAACTCTAGCTGAAAACAAACTAGGGACTGGCAGATAGGCTGTTTTACAACCAAGGCTATAAAGAAAGACTCACATAGAGTCAGGTAGGAAGGGAGGAGAAGGGATCAGGCTGGGACCAGTTCTTGTAGCAGGAAACAGACAAGAGGAAGGAGATATCACAGGTTGGGAGATCCTCCCTGGGGACTGAGGGCTTTGAACTACATATTGGGCACCCCAGCCACTGGGTTGGACATCAGGTAGATGAGTCCCCTGAGCAGGTTTAAAAACCAGTGGGATGTACCAGAGAGTTGAAAGAAACTGAGACTCCACTCACGCATGCTTGCTTACTCCCAGGAACAAGGTGGAGAAAGTAGGCTGAAAACGCCCCAGGGCTCAGGCCAGTTTCCCACTACTGCCCCAGTGCACCCCAGCCTGCATCTGGAGACTGCTGCAGCCCCTCTTGCTCCAGCACACCTCTCCACTAGGGCAAAGGCTGCCACTGCTAAGGAATAACATACTTGGAGGTGATGGAGCTGGTGTGCAACCAGCCTGAATCTGAACAGGGTGAGGGCAGCCACTGCCGGTGTGTGGGGAGGAAGCAGTTTGGGAGCAGCCTGGGGCTCTGGCTCCTGTATGGGAATCAACCCAGCAGGCACCCTGGCCCATGGCAGGCAGTTGCTCCAGCTCCTCTTGCTCCAGAGCTGCTCTCCACTAGGGTGAAGGTACACACATTTGGAGGAAGCAGAGCCAGCTAGGGCCAGGCCCTGCTTCTAAACAGGGCAAGGGAGAATGTTTCTGGTGAGCACATGAAGGCAGCGGATCAGAAATGGCCTGGGGCTCTGACTGGCTTACTGGGACCATACCAGGGCATAACCCAGCCCCATTGGGGGCTGCTCAAGCCCCTCTTCCTCTTATGTTCCCTTCCACTGGGATGGAGGTGCCAACACCGAGGGCAGGGGAGAGTGCACACTTAAGGGAATGGAACCAGCTCCAATCGACACATGGGACTTCAGCTCCAGCATCTTGGGTCCCAAACCCACTCTCATAGGGAGCCACTGAGCATAGAAGAAACCCAGGCTCACACCTGGCTCTGGCTCTAGCCCCTCCACGTCCACCCCTGCCTCCCAGCAAGGTGGTAGCTGCCAGCACACCCAAAGGGAAGATGTGACCTGTGCTCACTTCAGATTAGCAATCCCAAGAAAGCCACTCAGCATGTGAAGACTGTATGGGGATGCTGTCACACAGGACACCCCTGCAAGACTGAAACAGGTAAATGTTTCACCTAATTTTGTAAAGACAAAGAAAGTTAAGCAAAATGAGAAGACAAAGGAATTTGTTTCAAGCAAAAGAACAAGAAACAAAGCCCTGAAAAAACAACTAATGAAACAGAGATAATTTGCCAGATAAAGAGTTCAAAGCATTAGTAATAAGAATGCTAACTGAACTTGGGAAGAGAATAGATAAACACAGTGAGAATTTTAACAGGGAACTAGAAAATATAAAAAAGAACCAGTCAGAGAAAAATATAATAACTGGAATGAAAAACACACTAGAAGGATTTAACAGCAGACTAGGTGATGCAGAAGAATGCATAAGCAATCTGTAAGATAGAATAATGGAAATCACCCAATCATAAAAGCAAAAAGAAAAATAAATTTTAAAAGGTAAGGATAGGGCTTCCCTGGTGGCGCAGTGGTTGAGAGTCCGCCTGCAGATGCAGGGGATGCGGGTTCGTGTCCTGGTCTGGGAGGATCCCATGTGCCACGGAGCAGCTGGGCCCATGAGCCATGGCCACTGGGCCTGTGCGTCCGGAGCCTGTGCTCCACAGCGGGAGAGGCCACAGCAGTGAGAGGTCCGCGTACCACAAAAAAAAAAAAAAAAAAGGTAAGGATAGTTTAAGGGATCACTGAGGCAACATCAAGCATACTAACATTTGCATTATAGGGGTTCAAGAAGGAGCGACAGAGAAAGGGGTTGAAAATGTGTTTGATGAAATTATGGCTAAAAAATTTTCAAGCCTGAAGAAGGAAACAGACATCCAGATACAGGAAGCACAGAGGGTCCCAAAGAAAATGAACTGAAGAGACCCACACCAAGAGATATCATAATTAAAATGGAAAAAGTTAAAGATAAAGAGAGAATTCTAAAGGCAGCAAATGAAAAACAAAGAGTCACATACAAGGGAATGCCCATAAGGCTATCAGCTTATTATTCTACAGATTTTGCAGGCCAGAAGGGAGTGGCATGATATATTTAAAGTACTGAAAGGGGAAACCTACAACCTGAGATACTCTGTCCCACAAGATTATCATTCATAAATGAAGGAGAGAAAAAAATTTCTCAGACAAGCAAAAACTAAAAGAGTTCATCAATACTAACTAAATTGACCCTAAAAGAAATGTTAAAGCATCTTCCCTAAATGGAAAAGAAATGGCTACAACAAGTAAGAATTTATAGGAAAGGAAAAATCCCACTAGTAAAGGCAAATATATAGTAAAGACTGTGGATCAACCACTTAAATAAGCTAATGTGAAGATTAAAAGACAAAAACTGCAAAATCAACTATAACTACAATAAACAGTTAAGGGATAAATATGAAGATGTAAAATATGACATCAAAAACAAAAAACATGGGGGAGGGGAGTAAAAGATGTAGATCTTTTAGAATGTGTTTAAACTTAAATGACTACTGCTTTGGAAGAAGACATAGTTATAGGTCAACATATATAAACTCCATGTTAACCACAAATCAAAACCATACAATAGGCAATAGGTACACAAAAACTAGAGAGAAAGGAACACAAGCATACCACACACACACACACACACGCACACACACACACACACACCCCCATCAAACCACAGGAGAAGAAATTAAAAGAAGAAGAAAAGAACAGAGAAAAACAAAAACAACAAACAAGTAACAAAAAAC